GCTTTTAACCCCACATGTGTTCTATTTTTATAAGTTTCATCTTGCTTGAATAGAATATGAGTTTTTCTGTCAGGAGCAATGTTCAATATATTATATAGCTTGCTAATTCTTTACTGATTATTTCGTGTGCTTAATCTTTTGGTTACTGACAGAGGTACTTTAGAATATTAACTAGTGTGATTCATTTGTCTATTATTGAGTTTCTTCAGGGTTTCTTTTTTCTGCATCTTGTGGCCATGTTATTAGATGCATATAATTTTAGACTTACTGATTTATGAGAAAATACTCTTTTATCCTTAGATTATGACCTTCTGTGTTTATTAATGCTTTTTACCTTTAAAATCTACGTTGGCTGCTTACGTAAATGTTTTTTAGACATGTAAACAATATTTTCATTACTATTTGCCTAGCGTATCTTTTTCCATCTTTTTATTTTCAACCTTTTTGTTTATTTTTACGTTTCTCTTTAAACATTTTATTTCTGGATTTTGTTTGTAATCCAGCAGGGGTATCTTTGACTTCTAACTGCCTGCATAGAAATTGTTGAACTTCCTGAACCCAGCAATTGAGATTGTTGTCCTTAATCAGTTGAAGAAAAGTGTTAGCCGATACGCCTTTAAAAATTATTTCTGCCTCGTCTTCTCTCTTCTGCCTTTCTGAAATTCCAGTTAGATAAACATTCTCACTTTATATTCTGTGACCCTTAATATCTCTTTTGTATTTTATGTAGATTATTTCGGAAAATTTTAGTTTACATACTCTTTGGGTGTTTAATTTGCTGTTAAATTCACTTAACTGAGTTTTTCATTCCAGTTTCTTTTCCATTTTTTAATTTTGTTTTATTTAAGTAAGCTCTGTGCCCAACATGGGGTTTGAACTCACAAATGTGAGATCAAGAGTTGCATGCCAACTGAGCCAGCCAGGCACCCATCTTTTCCATTTTTAAAGGTTCTGAACACTTCTTTTTCAATTGTCACTTTTAGGAGACTACTTTTTATGACCTTTGCTCTTTACTGGTGATAAGCCACTCTTGACTTGACTTTCTATATCTGATCATGGCAATACTTAAAGTCTGCTGGTTTTGATTCATGCTGATTGTTTCCACTAGCTCTTGTTCATGGTGCCGTGTGTGTGTGTGTGTGTGTGTGTGTGTGTGTGTGTTTCTATCCATAATGAATTCTTACTCTTTTTTTTTTTTTTTAAGATTTTTTTTATTCATGAGAGACACAGAAGGAGAGAGGCAGAGACTTAGGCAGAGGGAGCCCAATGTGGGACTTGATCCCAGGATTCCAGGATCATGCCCTGAGCCGAAGGCAGTCGCTCAACTGCTGAGCCATCCAGGCGTCCCTGAATTCATATTCCTTAGAACTATGTGGGAAATCTTTTGAGTTCTGGGTTGAAGATCTTTTCCACAGAGAAAACATTTGATTCTTAAGAATGCTGAGGGCTGGGCAGCCGGTTTAGCGCCGCCTTCAGCCTGGAATGTGATCCTGAAGACCTGAGATCAAGTCCCATGTCAGGCTCCTTGCATGGAGCCTGCCTTTCTCTCTGCCGCACCCCCCCTCCCCCTGCCGTGTTTCTCATGAATAAATAAATAAAGCTTTAAAAAAAAAATAAAAAGAATGCTGAGGGCATTACCAGTCTGGAACTGCTTTAAATTATGGGCCTGGGTGTGTTTTTGTTTTGTTTTGTTTTTTTAAAAAATTTTTTTTTAATTTATTTATGATAGTCACACAGAATGAGAGAGAGAGAGGCAGAGACATAGGCAGAGGGAGAAGCAGGCTCCATGCACCGGGAGCCCGATGCGGGATTCGATCCCGGGTCTCCAGGGTCACGCCCTGGGCCAAAGACAGGCGCCAAACCGCTGCGCCACCCAGGGATCCCCTGTTTTGTTTTTTTTAAGATTTTATTTATTTATGCACGAGAGACACACATAGAGGCAGAGACATAGGCAGAGGGAGAAGGAGGCTCCATGCAAGGTGCCCAATGTGGGATCATGCCCTGAGCTGAAGGCAGTTGCTCAGCTGCTGACCAACCCAGGGATTTTTTGACTACCAAAGTGCTATATGGTTTTTTTTGTTGTTGTGTTGTTTTTTAAGATTTTATTTATTTATTCATGAGAGACACACAGAGAGAGGCAGAGACACAGGGAGAGGGAGAAGCAGGCTCCACGCAGGGAGCTTGATATGGGACTTGATCCTGGGACTCCAGGATCATGCCCTGGGCCAAAGGCAAGCACCAAACCGCTGAGCCACCCAGGCGCCCCAAAAGTGCTATATATTCAACAAAAAAATCGCACCAAATTAAGGCCTGGTTTGTAGTCATGACTAATCAGGAAAGATTTCTAACCTCTTTCATCAGTGCTGAGGTACCAAGTATATTTAAAATAATAGTTAAAATTTTTAATCTTTTTTTTTTTAAGTGAGTAGATCAAATTAGGTTATCATAGTCTGCCATACTGCTGGATGTGGAAGTCCCTGTCATAATTTTTCTATATGTTGGTTGGTAACTCTCCATGAGTTTCCTGATATAATCTGAAATTGGCCCCTGTACCAAAGAAACAAGTCATTCCAGCTTGAAGGTGGCAGTTTTAACAAGCAAAGGGCACTTACATACGAGGCTTGTCTTGAGCAGTAGGAAGATGAGTGGATCTCCGCATCTGCCTACCAAGTCTTTAAAAGTTTAGAAGGAGGCCTTTACTGTGTCAAGTTACTAACATCAACTGTGTAGGTGTTCTCAGTATCACATCGCTGTCTCAAGGTTATGTCCTTAGAGCAGCCTCTGGAAGGAAGAAAGGCAAATGGAACCCACATTCCAAGAACAGGAAGGCGGGGGTGGGGGTGGGGGTAAGGAGCCTTTGAGTGCCTCAGTTCAGTTTCACAAGTCAGCTGGAGATCACATAGCTGTTTGATAACATTCCCTAACACTACAACCAACCATTGTTGTCAGGGTTTGTTTTTTCTTTTTTTGGTGTTTAATTTTGGTAAACACCCATTATAAAATTTATCCTCTTAATGACTTTTCAATAGCAACTTTGTTCACATTGTTGTGTAGTGGATCTCTGGAACTTTTTTGTCTTGCAAAATTGCAAAGTATGAATATGTCACTTTTAGGGGACTACTTTTTAGCTTTATGTAAAAAGGCTAGGGGTAAAGACAAAATACCAAAATTCTCTGCCTCTTATCTCTTGGCAGAATTATGAATGATTTTTTTTAAATTTTCTTTTGTGTTTTGCATAGTACAGTAAATATGTGGGCTTTTGAAAAAATTGTTTTAGATATTTAAAGTGTTCCTTGGAGAACAGTGTTAATTCTTTCATGGGGCATTTTTTCTTATGACTTCAAACTCAGAAGTTAAAAAGGTACTAGGTAGAAGGCCAAAATACATTATTTTGTTTGAGTTTTTTGCATTTTGAAAGAGATACTTACCTCAAGCTTATTTAACTTGATCTTATAATTTGTAGCCGAATTAACATGGCTTCAGCCTATTTAATTACCAGCTTTCCTAGGATTACTGAATTAGCCGTGTTGATAATGTTGATATGTAGTGCCCTCAGTTTTCAACTGGACTGTTAATATACCTCACAATTGGGGATCCCTGGGTGGCGCAGCGGTTTAGCGCCTGCCTTTGGCCCAGGGCGCGATCCTGGAGACCCGGGATCGAATCCCACGTCGGGCTCCCGGTGCATGGAGCCTGCTTCTCCCTCTGCCTGTGTCTCTGCCTCTCTCTCTCTCTCTCTCTCTCTCTCTTTCTGTGTGACTATCATAAATAAATAAAAAATTTAAAAAAAAATATATATATATACCTCACAGTTTAAGGCTTCCTTTCTTTTTCTCCATCATTTATCTACTGATCTAAAAGGACTATGTTTTATGTGTCTTGAGTCCAAACTGAAAAATATAACAAATGTGAGTTTTTAAAAGGTTGCTTTGGCTCTGTGTTTTGGTAGAAGATCTTCAAGATAAATTATGACATAAGAAAAGCAAGGTACAGGGCAGTGTATATAATATGCTACCTACTGTAAGAAGGGGGAATAAGATTATTTGCTTAACTGCATAAAGAAGCTCTGGAAAGCTGTACAGCTTCTTACTTTCATACTGGTTGTGGAGATGGAGTTGGACTTACTAGCACTGTTACATCTTCTGATTTTTGGGTCATGAATATTAATGGCTTTTGAAAGTGATGTATTGTGAACTTAGAAATAAACTGCTTTTATTTTCTCACATAAAATAAGCATGTCATACCTCATGGGATAGTAATTATCTCCTTCCTTAGACCAGGAGTAGGTAAACTATAGCCCAAAGGGTCAATCCTCTCTTCCCTCACTTTTAAATAAAGTCCTGTTGGAACACAGCCATGCTCATTTGTGTACATACTATCTTTGGCCACTCTTTTCTTTACAGTGGCAGAGTTGAGTAGTTGAAATACACCTTACAGCCTGCAGTAATTATTATCTGATTCTTGACAGAAAAATTTTGCAAACGCCCCTGTGCTAGATTTTGTCCTTAGATTTTCAGTAGTATAGCCCTTTGTTCACAATCATATTTTTATATGGACTTCTATTATTAAAATATACAGTTATACTTAACAGAAGTGAGGTTAGGGGACAGGTTGGTTGAACCCTGCCTACTCACCTGCCTCCCTCTCTTTTTTTACCCTCCATTCTCCAGCAGCTGTTTCTTGAGGGGAATTTGAGGAACCCCCGGGGTTCTAAGGAGTACAGTTTGAAAATGACTGCCTTACAACAACTCTTTGAGGTAGTAAGTCTGATATTATTTTCTATTTTAGGTATTGAGAGACTCGGCTCATAGAAGTGAGTTAGTCAAGGCTTATTAAGCAACCAGAACACAAAACAAATCCAGAGTGTTCAATTGCAGAATAAATGGTCATGTTTGTTTTTATATTTTATTTTAAATTGTCATAATCATGTAGTTGTTTTTCTAAGGTGTTTTAGTAGTTATTTAACTTTTTTGTACCCCCATTTTATTTGTTCCATGTAGGTTTTTGTAAGGCAAGCTTCCTTCCTTTATTGGAATTTGCCTATACTTCCGTGCTAAGTTTTGACTTCTGTAGCATGGCTGATGTAGCCATCTTGGCTCGTCATCTTTTCATGTCGGAAGTTTTAGAAATCTGTGAAAGTGTACATAAACTAATGGAAGAGAAGCAGTTAACAGTATATAAGAAGGGTGAAGTCCAAACGGTTGCATCTACCCAGGACTTACCAGAGCAGAATGGAGTTACTACACCTCCTGCGGCTAGCAGCGAGGGAACCACAACAACATTATCTACTGAACTTGGGGATTGTGAAATTGTACTACTGGTGAATGGAGAATTGCCAGAAGCTGAGCAGAATGGAGAGCCAGGACAACACTCTGAAGCCCAGGCTTCTTCAGAGACTCCAGCCACTGTGTCACCTGCAGGCTGTATAACTGGTGCCCATCCTCAAATGGAGTCTGTGGATTTAGCAACAAAAAACAGTGAGACAGAACTAGAAACTTCAGGTAGCAGGGAAGACAGCACAGTTTCTGATACTCACCCCAAACTTTCAGAAGAGAATGTAATCAGTAGCTCTCCAGAAAACAATGATATGGGAAATGGCACATCACCTGAAGATATCTGTGCTGAAGACATTCCAGAGCATATGCAGAACCTTGGCCAGTCTTTGAAAGACCAGGAAAATCTGGTTGCACTGGCAGCAAAGACAGACCTCGGCCCTGATGATGAAACCTACAGAAGCAGGCTTCGGCAGCGTTCTGTTAATGAAGGGGGATATATCCGACTGCACAAAGGAATGGAGAAAAAGCTACAGAAACGGAAAGCTATTCCCAAATCAGCAGTTCAGCAGGTATGATGGAGAGGTGACCTTTGTGATTTTAGTTTAAGTCAAAAGCATTCTATTCATAAACTTAATATCTATCATGAAAATTATTTGAGGAGGAAAGGGCCGTAGGTGCAGGAAAGCAACCTAATGTTTTAAATACCAATATTAACAAAATAGTATCAATTTGAAATATTAAAACATGATTCATGGCTTTAAAAATTAAAAGGAATGTATTTACTTAGAATATGCTTTCTGTCCCTTAATTAGGTAGCCCAGAAATTAGTTCAAAGAGGGAAGAAGATGAAACAACCAAAAAGAGATACTAAAGAGAATCCTGAAGAAGCAGCATCCCATAAGTGTGGGGAATGTGGAATGGTTTTTCAGAGACGATATGCTCTTATAATGCACACACTGAAACATGAAAGAGCTAGAGATTACAAATGTCCAGTAAGTAATTGGGAAGCTAATTGAAGATGGTCTAACTCCATGATGACTAGAATCCAGTTTACTGCTTCATTGTTATTCTAGTACTTACATATTCTCTCGGTGTTCTCTGTCTCACTTATATTGCAATGTTAGAGTCATCTTCCGATTTGTATTATGTCATTTCTTTGACCCCCACCCCCACCCCCAAAATCCCACAAAAAACAGTGATGTATCTTTGCTTCTTCCTGATACTATTCTAGTAGGACAAGACTGAAGTTATCATTTAAAAAAATGTAAGCTCAGGGGCATCTGGCTGTCTCAGTCAGTAGAGCATGTGACTCATGGTCTTGGAGTCGTGAGTTCGAGCCCCACATTGAAGGTAGAGATTACTTAAAAGTAAATAAACTTTCAAAAATTGAAAAATAAAAGCTCATAGAAGGGTAAAGAGAATAGGAGGGGAAACCTTAGCAACTACTTTCTGGTCCCTGATAAATAGAGGGAATAACTAATTTAGCAGATTTAAATGGGTTCATTCCTGGGCTTTCAGTGGGGAAAGCTAAGAATCTGTCCAAATTGTATAGTAGAACTACCAAATGCCTCAGGAATTAGTGTTGCCAGCCTCCTTTGAAAGTAGAAGTGAGTCTGGTTGTAAGACAGTTGTTAAGCAGTTAAATCACCACCACTCCACAGCCAAAGATCCGTCTTCTACTTTCTGGGAGAGAGAAAACCATTACTGCTCTGGGGAACACTGTGTACAGTGAGGGTGAATGTACTATACCCAAAACAAGGAAAAAGTAAAACCTTACGTATTGAGTGTGGAGACCTTTCAAGTTCTCTTTACCTACTCAAGTCCCAGAATTATTAGCAGCCACACCCTCAACCCAAAAGGAAAGGTTCCTCACAGATGAGGATTTTGAAGCCCAGTAACAAAGGACCTTGAGAGAGTGCTGACTAAAGCCTGTGGTTGACAGCTCCCCACATACCCACCCCACTTATTACAGAAATTCCAGTCCGTTTTTTAACACTCAAATATGAGTCAGTATCAGGAATCATCAGATGCATGATAAATTTTTCAAGAAAAAGCAATTTTGAGGGATCTACAAATATAAAAATCTCAGAAAAAATTGTAAATAGACTAAAGGTTTCAGAAAATAACGCAAAAGACAAGGTAGGAAGTGAGAGTAAAGAAATCTAGAGAATTGGTGTACGATTTCTGATATGCAAATAACACCAAACAGAACATGGAGAGAAGGAAATCATTGGTGCATTAAGGAAAGAATATCAGAATTTAAGTTTCCTTGTGAAAAAAAGGCACATTAAATACCCAGAACCATGGATGAAGGTAGATGTATATCAAGATAAATTATGAAATCTTCAGGGGACAAAGAAAAAATCTTATAAATAATGATAGAGGGGGGAAAAAAGGTAGACTCATAGAAAAGATAAAGGTCAGATTGGCTTCAGGCTTTTCAGCAGCAACAATGGAAACTAGAAGACAAAGGCACAGTGTCTTTAAAATTCTAAAGGGAAATTATTTCCACCTTAAAATCTGTAGCCAAACTATCAGTTATTTGTGATGGTAGATAACATTTTTAGACATGCAAGATCTCAAAAGTTTTACCTCCCAAACTCCCTTTCTCAGGAAGCTTATTGGCAGAGGTGTTCCAATAAATGAGCAAGACCTGGGAAACCGGGAAACATGGGGGCCAATTCTGCAGAGTCCAAGCATAGGAAACAACCAGTCCAGGTTGGAACAGGACAGAATGCTTGACAGAGATCTCTTTCTTAAGGTGATGTCTTTCAATCTGCTCTCAGTAGACAATTGAGGGAAGGGTTTGGTGATGAATTAGCAGTAAATACAAAGAGAAATAAGTAAAACAGAGAAAGGGAGAATTGTAGTGTACTGTGTGGCCTAGCTGTAATAATAACTACATCCTGGAAAAAATGTGAACACGGAAATTAGTCAAAACGACGACATAGCTATATTGAGAAAGTAAGGTGATGAGAAGGGTCTGCGTATGTGTAGGGAGTGAAGGGGTGAAGGGAGAGAGTCCCCATCCATTATTCATTCATGTTAGAGTTACCAAGATAAGCATCATGAGAGAGTGAGAAAAATATATATAAATAGTAGACCAAAAGAAGAATTTTAGGGACCATCACAGTTCTATCTTTCTACGTTCTCTAACCCCTAGTTTTACTCCCAACTAACAACTGTACTCATATAATGATAACATTCTTCTGTCTCTGTGTCCTGCTATTCCTTCTAGACAGACCTAGTTTCCTCATTTTGATGCCTTTCTTTATTGCTTCGATTACTCCCTCTATGGTTAGATTATAAACCTCTCCAGAGTAGGGGCTGGGTCTTAACACCTCTTGTCCTTCCTTATATTTGATATCTAGCATATTGTCTTTTATATAGTATACTATATGCTATTTTATTGATTTATATGCTTGTAACGAAATGGGAAACTGAAATAAGAGTCAAGTTTCACTTAACATTTGTTACAGAATTGCACTTAGAATATTATTTACTTTTTTTTGTAGTTGTGTAAAAAACAGTTTCAGTACAGTGCCTCCTTGCGAGCACACCTTATTCGGCATACCAGAAAAGATGCACCCACTTCATCCTCTTCCAATTCTGCATCTAATGAGACATCAGGAACGTCGTCTGAGAAGGGGAGAACCAAAAGAGAATTTATATGTTCCATATGTGGAAGGACATTACCTAAATTATATTCTCTTCGAATACACATGTTAAAGCATACAGGTGTAAAGCCACATGCATGTCAGGTAAAGCCATGAAGTTTATTTTATTATATAAAGAAGATTTGAACTTAACTAGTTATGAGACTGGTTGATTCTGGAGTCACCCTCACTTCTGTAAAATGTCACAGAATTCTAGCACTTTCTCAGTTTGTTGCTTGGATTAAGGGTGATTCCCAATTGTGTTCCTTATTTTGCTCCTTAATTTGTTGTGATTTGAAATGAATGTATTAGGATGGTCATGAAACTTACTAGGATTCAGAGGATATACTGGGTGAGAATAACCAGTTCATTATTCCATTCATCCCTTTAACCTTCAGCAGGAGCAGTCTGGACTAAAAAGGAACCCAAGGCTTAAACAAATCTCCTTAGCAAAAATCCTTCTAAGCTGTGTGTTGTCTAGAGCTGAGGACTGAGACTATCTAAATGCCTAAATAAAACTTCTAGGTAAAGAATCTTGTGATTAACCAGCTCAGGGCTATTTGGAACAGTGAAAATTCTCTAGTAGCCCCTGTAGCTTTGCATATAAGCATGACCCCATTTTTTTCCCCAATGAGATTTTTAATGATTCTCTCCCCCCACACACTTTTTTCTTTTTTTTCTCTTTTTTTTTTCTTTTTTTTTTTTAGCTTTTTATTAGAATAGAGTTGACCCTCATATACCAGCATCAGTAACTAATCAACACATGGTCAACTGTGTTTTATGCATAACTGTCACTCACTGTCCTCATCCCCTCATGTCTTTTGAAGCCAAGTACTAAGCATCATTTTATTCATAAATTTTAAAGATAGGTCTTAACTGGGCATCTGGTCTTCTAGTGTAGCACTACTCAAAATGTGTGGTCCATGGAAGATATGTACAGAAATTGAGAGTAGACATCGAGACACTGTCAGAGCAATTGACATTGTGATATTTTTATCATATTTAACAAAAAAATGGATTGAGGAAAGGAAAAATAAAACCCTAGTTCTTCATCACAGAGAGTCTGAGAAACACTGTTCTAGTTGATGTAGCAAGAAAATAGTATATTTTCTTGATAAAGCTCCTGTGTCTCTCTTAATATAGGTATACTGTTTACTAGTCTGACAAGGACAGTGTGAGGGTCTTTTGTACTGCTTTGAGCTCCAGTGATCACCTGGATGTAAGAAAAGTAGCAATATTTGTTAAGTACTGAGTCAGAAGATGATCAACCAGCTAATACCCTTGACACTTGTTTCAACTTTCAGTTTGTCATTTTGTTTGTAATTCTTTTTCTTTAAAATGGCATACACTTTCTCTGTCTTCATCCTTCAGCAGCAGCCCTGATTTCTCTTTTTCTATTTTACTGGTTTAAACACCTGTGCTGTCTTAGGTCTGTGGAAAGACTTTCATCTATAAGCATGGTCTAAAATTACACCAGAGTCTCCATCAGTCACAAAAGCAGTTCCAGTGTGAACTATGTGTTAAGTCATTTGTTACCAAACGGAGTCTTCAAGAACATATGAGTATTCACACAGGTAATGAGAAATTAGTATTGATATAGCTCCACGTTATATACTGTTCTATTGGTTATGCTATAATTACTTTAGAAAATATATTGATATACTGATGGCTGTATGCGTGCAGATTTTTATTAATGAAAGTAAGGCTAAAAAGTGTTCTTAAATCTAGTTTTAAGTCTGTCTTATTGGTGTAAGAATATTCATTGTTTCCCTCAGTGTAGGAAAAAATGTACTGAATATTAAATCGTGCATAATTTAGATCCAGGCACCTAATAAAATAGTCATGCTTTTAAAAAGTTAATTAATACACAGATGGTAACTGCCAGCATGGTATAGGGCTTATAATTTTATTAGAACTTTTAGTCCATACGAAATTATTTTCTAGTGCTTATAGCAGTTAGGTGGAATTTGTTACTCAAGGGTAGACACCGGTTCTAGAACTTGTATTCAACTCTGTACTATTAGAATCTGAGGATTATGCAAGCATGTCACGTTTCTTTGGGTAGTGGTAACTTTGCTAGTGCTGTAGCTGAGAGGAAATAAGAGATTCTGACCTGGTTTGTTCTGAGATGTGGCTGCCAAATGTGATAGCTTCTGTGTCCCCTTGGTAAAGTAAGTTCTGAAGTAGGACATAAAGTATTCTGTTGGAAAACACCTGATTGTTGGATTTGTGATCTTTTTATCTTTTATAGGTGAGTCCAAGTACCTCTGCTCAGTTTGTGGAAAGTCTTTTCACAGGGGCTCTGGACTCAGCAAGCACCTAAAGAAACACCAGCCAAAGCCTGAAGTTCGAGGCTATCATTGTACTCAGTAAGTATTTCATAAACAAACTGTTAAATTTTCTGTGTTCCTAGTAGGTTTACTTGAAAGTCATTTTCAAAAGAAAATATTTGAGATAACTTTAGTCTCTAGCACTATTGTGTAATTGAAATTTGCTAAGAGAGTGGAACTTAAACACATATATACGTATATCTAATGTGATGGGTACATGGATACGTTTATCAAACCATTATGATGCACATTTTAAATATCTTACGGTTTTGTCAGTTATACCTTAATAAAGCTAAAAAAAAACACAAGGAAATGTTTGAAGATGATACTGAATTGTTATTTATTCTTGATTTGGATCAGTCTTTTTTTCTTCTTTTTGCCTAGGTGTTGATATTTATGGTTTTTTAGTTTTATTTAGAAATCACCATACCACATCACTCACTTGAAATAATTTAAAGATATTTTTCAAATGTATTACCTGGAGATGGAGACTATAAGAAAGGTTTCCAATGCAAGCGAGAGATTTTTTGCTAGGCAGTTTGTCTAAGGTGCTGGGCTGTCTGCTAGTTTTTTCCCTTTTCAGACTTTTTCTTTTCTCCCTCTTTTTATTTTTCAAAGCCTCTTGAGACCTCTTTTTTTTTTTTTTTTTTTTTAAGATTTATTTATTTATTCATGAGAGACCGAGAGAGAGAGAGAGGCAGGGACACAGGCAGAGAGAGAAGTAGCTCCCTGCAGGGAGCCCAACGTGGGACTCAATCCTGGTACTCCAGGATCAGGCCCCTGGGCTGAAGGCAGACGCTCAACCGCTGAGCCACCCAGGCATTCTGAGGCCTCTTTATAATTGAGATAAAGCTCAATATAAAATTCATCATTTTAAAGTGTCTAATCCACTGATTTTTAGTACATTTAATACATTGTGCAATTAGACATCACCATTGTCTAATTCCAGAATGCCTTCAACACTCAGCTAAGCTGTTACAACTCTATTTTGGTTTTCTCTTCTGTTGGTTTAGAGTCAGCCAGAGATGAGAGCTCAGGGCCTTCTCAGGTCTTTTCTAACTATGTTTTGCCCTGGAAAAGTGTGTGGATCTCAGTTCCTGGGAATCTGAGAGTTTTCCAAAGCCCCCATTCTATCACCATTGCATCCCCCAGGCTTTTTTCCCAAGCTCTTGGTTCATATATTGTTTGAACCAAAGTATTATTTATTCCTTGCCGAGTGCAGAGGCAAATACATTTGCCTTTAAATGTCTTCAACAGACTTCTCCCTTCCCCCCAAGTCCCAGCCCTGATAGAGTTGGGTGAACAAAATGGCAGGCTTTTTTTATTATTATTATATGTTTGCCTGGTCACTGTATACTTCTAAGCAGTTTCAGAGTTCCGGTAAAATTGATTCTCATAGTTTGGGCCAGTTTTGTGGAGCAGTGGGCTTGTGGGGTTCCTGACTGCCATTTTTGCTGATGTCACTTTAATTGGTCTTATTATAAAACAAGTATATTTTATTGCCAATAGATTTTTAGTTGCAAGTGAGAGAAAACCCAACCTAAACTGGCTTCAATGAAAGGTAAAGTCTAGGAGTCTGAATGGATTAATGTAAACTAGATTCACATTCGTTAGCACTTGGTGTCTCCAGGGCTCTCTGGACAAGGCAGTAGCAATGGTTTCAGCCTCACATCCTCACTCCCGAATCATCAAGCTGCTTTTCTGGTAATTCCTAGCTAGGTTCTGAGATCCATATCCATTGGATCTGGTTAAGTCCTTTGATTATCCCTAATCAGTAATTACAGCCAAGGGAATGCTGTGCTCTGATTGACTTAGGCCTGCCTGAGGCAGTTGCTTCACCCTATGGTCTACAGTGAGGCCTACTCCAAACACATGGACAGAGAACAGGAGAGAGTAAAAAGGGGGATCAGAGGGAGCATAAGGGAGAAACAAAACAAATGTCTTATATAACAGCCTTTGAGAGCTCTGCACGGTTCATTCTAAAATGTTTGTAGTACTAGAAACAAAAAGAAGCAAAGTGAAAAAAGAGGGAGGCAAACCAAGAAACAGACTCTTAACTATAGAACTGAGGGTTGCGGGAGGAGAGGTGCTTGGGGGATGGATCAAATAGGTGATGGGCATTATTAAGGAGGGCACTTGTTAATGTTGAGCACTGGGTAGTATATGGAAGTGTTGAGTCACTATATTGTACACCTGAAATTATGTTACTAACTGGAGTTTAAATAAAAACTTTAAAAAAAATGTTTCCAGTACTTCAGAGCTAAAATAAGTTAAAACCCTGAAGCCTTATTGCAAGATTGGAATAGTAGGCGAATTCTTGTGTTTTCAGTTGGGATCATTTGGTAGAGTTCTAGCAACCCTAGTCTTGGAAATCTGTTTTAAAAGAATAAGTCTCATTGAGTGCTTGAACTTTATTGTTGCAGATGTGAAAAAAGTTTCTTTGAAGCTAGAGATCTTCGTCAGCACATGAACAAACATCTTGGTGTGAAGCCATTCCAGTGCCAATTTTGTGATAAGTGCTATAGCTGGAAGAAAGATTGGTATTCCCATGTGAAGTCTCATTCTGTCACTGAGCCTTACAGGTAGAAAAATTTGAGCAGGATCTGAACTTAATTGAGATGTATGTGTACTTGGATTCATTCTTTTGGATGCTGTTGCTTTGGAAAAAATAATTTAGGTTTTTCCTCCCTATTATAGGTGTAATATATGTGGCAAAGAATTTTATGAGAAAGCATTGTTCAGAAGGCATGTAAAGAAAGCTACCCATGGAAAAAAAGGAAGAGCAAAGCAGAACCTGGAACGGGTGTGTGAACAATGTGGAAGGAAATTCACTCAGCTAAGAGAGTATAGGAGACACATGAACAACCATGAAGGTAACTGTACCTGAATTATGTATATATTGAAATAGAATAAAAAGCCAACCCAGTAGTAGTGGGTGTCCTTTTACCAGCCCTTTTGCCTGTTACCTTGCCTTCCTTTGATAAGAGCTGAACCTCATATCATGTAATATTTATTCAAGTGATCAAGGTGATACTGAACCTGGGTACCTAGTGGGTGCGTATGTAGATAGTTTCCTTTTTTATAAGTGAGCTTAATATTCTAGGTCAACATTTTTATGCTGAACTGGACTATTCAGAGCTTCTGTTTCCTTACCCTAAGATTATAAGATTGCAGGGAAGGCTATCAAGACTATGCCTGGAAACTCAAAATTGTCTCTCAGTAACTTCTCTTATTGGAAACGCGTCTGGAGAGATTAGAGTGCAGAATCTAGTTTATTCCACGGTACAGCATTAAGGTCCTGAACAAAAGATTGCCAGGTCCACATAGAAAGGGCTGTGGGTGGCTGAACTTAGAACCATTATATATCAGGGAACGTCACTGTATTTCGTTCCTTACCACACGCATCTCTCTCTCTCCGCCCCCCTCCCTTTAATAGGAGTTAAGCCATTTGAATGCTTAACCTGTGGAGTAGCTTGGGCTGACGCCCGATCTCTAAAGCGCCACGTCAGAACACATACTGGCGAACGGCCCTACGTCTGCCCCGTATGTAGCGAAGCCTACATAGATGCTCGGACGCTCCGTAAACACATGACTAAGTTCCACAGAGATTATGTGCCTTGCAAAATTATGCTGGAAAAAGATACCCTTCAGTTTCATAACCAAGGAACTCAAGTGGAACATGCCGTTAGCATCTTAACAGCAGATATGCAGGAACAGGAAAGCAGTGGTCCTCAAGAACTCGAAACTGTGGTAGTGACCGGAGAAACCATGGAAGCGCTCGAAGCTGTCGCGGCTACAGAAGAGTGTCCATCAGTATCTACACTTTCTGACCAAAGTATTATGCAAGTGGTTAATTATGTGCTGGCACAACAGCAAGGACAGAAGCTGTCGGAAGTCGCAGAAGCTATTCAAACTGTTGAAGTGGAGGTGGCCCATATTTCAGAAGCAGAATGAAGGTAGTAATGGAGATAAGAGAAGTGACGTGTATACTGAACTCACAGAACACTTGTTTACAGGACTGTGTGACTCTGCCTAGATTTTGTGTGTCAAGGTTCTGGGCTGTTTGGTGAGGTTTTAACATTTAACATTTCTGAACGGTTTGTCTGGCTAATGGGTTCTGTTGAAAAGTCCATTTACTGTAAAGAAATTGAAAACGTGTACTTGGTGGCATTGGTTTATCATGGTGTACTTTTTATGAATTAATGTTTATAAAGGACTGTACTAAATTAAAATCTATATAGTTTCACTTGCATTTTGACATTATTACATACTTTGAGTTTAAAAGGCTGCACTAGTCAGATCTTCTTCTCTTTTATTCTCAAAATAGAGAGGTTTGTGATTTCATTTGCCCTGTTTATAGGTTGAAAAAAATTCTAATATAAAGCATTTGAGTAGGATGCATAGGTATATTACATTTTTAAAATGCTTCAAATCTGTGATTCTTGACTTACTATTTATTTTAACCCCTTATAAGTCAGGGATTTATTCTATTTTAAAGCACTTAATGAGTTACATGTTGTAATCAAGTTTGCACAGTATACTTAATCTGTATGGGGAACCCTTAAATAAATAGCTGATTTTTAAATGCCATTAAAATGCATGAAATGCCTATTAAAGCCTTACTATATACTATCTCTTCAAGGCAAGTAAATTGACCATGAGCAAAGGACACTGTTACTAAACACTGTTGATGGGAAATTTCTCCTTGATAACATGGGACAATGAATGAAAAAAAAAAATCTTCTTTTGCTGAAAAATGAACAAGTTAAAACTAGATTTCATATGTTTGCAGCTTTTGTATCATGTTTAACTGTTCAATTTTGTTGAAAAACTGCAATTTAGAAATAGGATAGCAATATAGACCTCTACAGCGGTCCTGTGGATACCCTATAATTGTCAAGGAACTTCAAAATATTGAAAAGTCTTCAATTCAGCCCTCATTTTAGTGTACGACTTAAAGAAGTTAATTGATTATGCTCCACCAAATTGTCGAAAGTAAATTATTTTTAAAAGTTACCTGAGAATTATATTTATTTGTGCGTTTGATTTTTTTTTTTTTTTAATTCCCACTCCTAGAAGCTATCCAGTTTTCTGATCTTCAAAATAACTGTGGGAAACTACCACTCAAGCTATAATTGTTAAGATTAAACTTTTTAAATATTAGAAGCTAATATAAGGTATAAAATGAAGATATAAGCAAATCACATGTAAATCATTCCTAAAGCACAAGAAAAGAATGTGCCTTGATGTACATATATTAAGATACTTACTCCAGTTTACTTTTTAAAAAATGGCTTAAAAAATAAAGAATAAATGTGATGCCATGCATGCATTATACCTGCATATGTAATATTTGCATTTGCAAATTTCCCATTGTTTCTGTAGCTGTGTGGCTGACTTTCTATTTTAAGTGAATTGACATACAGTCCATGACTTCATAATGGCTGCTTGTTCATCGTACCTTTCAGTTAGTGAAAATGTATTTCAACCCAGCTCAAATTTGGAATTGTCTTTTATGTTCCATCTTCACTGTTGTTACTAGATTTAGTTAACTGTATGAGACCATTAATGTATGTCAAAAATATGTAAATAAAAGTTGTTGAATCTTGTTTAAAAGCATAAGCTTCAGAGTTGAGCTTGTCACTTTGTAAATCACTTGCTGTTTTATTTGAGATGTTATTAAACCTAATCCATTATTAAAGGGAAGGGGAATTGAATACATTAAAATTTGTAAACACTGGGTGGAAACATAATAATGTTAAAGCTTCGTTCCCATAAGCAATTTTACTCCCAAATTGAAACCTGTGATTTACTGCCCACTTTGTGTCCGGCTGGCTTAGTCGGTATGTGACTCTTTGGTCTTGAGGTTGTGAGTTTGAGCCCCGTGTTGGGCATGGAGATTACTTTTTAAAAAATGTGTAGAATCACATAAATTACACGCAGAATCTAGTGTTAGGGTGCCGAGAACTCAGTTCCCCATTGCCATGGGGGAAACTTCTAGGTTTAATTTGCAGTTCCCTTTTGGAAACACGTGTTGCTTTGTTGCCAGGTGGCTTTCCCCTAATTGCGTGGCTACCACTGGCTAAATGTACTTGCTACTCCTGCTGCCAGACAGTTTGAGTCGTTAGTCACTGAAATGTATGAATTGTCGATAGCAGTGAATGGCTTCTCTGACGTGGGTTTTAATCTTCTTCTTAAAAGTGGCTGTCTACAGAATTTCACAAGGTCGCCTAAACTGCTGGACTCCGAGCTCACCCAAACCTCCAGCGTTTTGTTGTTGTTTACTGCACGGGTGTAGACTACCTGTGCGGCATGATGTTTCCCGCTCAGGATTCTTCTTGTCAAACCTGTCGTCTCTTGGAAGTTCCTAAACAGCTTTACACCTAATGTTTGGAACATACGTAATAAAAGCCTTTGCTTCCTCTTGATCTTCTATACTGATCGATTATAGTGCGTGGAGCAAAGATGCACAGGTAACATTTAATCAGTTTAAATATCCCATGTTTGTGGTCTAGTACTTGACATTTGGAGGTTTACCGCTGCTTATTGGTTTTTTCCTGAAGAGTCTTTGAGATTTCGGAGTATGAACCCAGTAGGGCCTCCCCTTTGGAAGCCTGTGCCACCCGCCTCGGTTGAGGGATGGGTCTTTCCAGATCGGGGTTGTGTGGGCTCCACGTGTTGGTGGTTAGGTACGATTTTCATATTAATTCTCAGACTGTGGCTTCCCCGAGCGGCATCTAAATTTGAACTCGGGGCCACTTTGAGAGAAGCTCGCTGCTCGAAATCTCCGAGGGACGCTCTGTGTCCCCAGGAGCCCAGCCTTGGACAAAGACCCTTAGCTGCCTGGGCTGGTGGACTGAGGTTTTCTTGATTGTTCTTCCTGAAGATGTAGCTCGTCAGTGGTGCCAGCGTTTTGTTTAAGTAGGTTCCCTGCCCACCTTGGGGCTTGAACTCCTGGCGCTGAGATCCAGGAGTTTCGTGCGCTACCACCGGAGCCAGCCATGGTCTCAGTATCGTGTGGAATTTCTTTTTCCAACTTCTGTAGACCCAGATCCTGAGCTCTTGTTGCCCTTCAGCTGTCAAAAGCCAGCCCCTCTGGAAGGGCCAGGCCCTGTGCGGCCGGAGGCCACCACGAGCTCCACTCCTCTTACTCAGGGACCCTGGGAAACTGCCTTTCTTACGAACTTAGTACCATGATTTTTTTTTTAATTTTTTATTTATGATAGTCACACAGAGAGAGAGAGAGAGAGGCAGAGACACAGCAGAGGGAGAAGCAGGCTCCATGCACCGGGAGCCCGACGTGGGATTCGATCCCGGGTCTCCAGGATCGCGCCCTGGGCCAAAGGCAGGCGCCAAACCGCTGCACCACCCAGGGATCCCAGTACCATGATTTTCTAAGGAATTTGTTATATTTTATCAAGTAGAGAGTTTCATGTATTTTAATCTCTTCCCAACTCTGGACACCAAGTAGTATTTTAGATATTTTCTCTTCTGGTTACTTTTTATTTCCAAGTTTTATTTCTACCCTCAATACCTCTTTCACTCTCCCCATCTTCTTCTTCCTGATAACCTTGGAGTTCCTCAACCTAATCTTTCACTGTTCTTAATCATCTATTCTTCATTTTTAAAAAGTACATTTATCCTAGCAATTCCAGTTGGTTCATAGGTGCTAATTCCCGCTTCCCTTTTCCATTCATCTTTTCCTGTCTTGCTGGTTGGACGTATCCTGTTCATTTTGAATTCTGTGTCCCGTGTGCCCTGCGGAACAATTCTGTGTCTATACCACAACCTCACCGTCCTACCGCTGATGGATATTTGGGTCATTTTCAGCTTGGGGTTCCCCTAAAGAATGCTGTAGCACCATTTTTACCCTCTTGGTACATATGTGTATACAGGCAAGCATTCCTGCTGGGTACGTAACTCAGAGGAGAACTTGAGATACTTGGATTTGTGAACCAAAATACCTCCCAAAGAGATGATACCAACTTGCTCTCCCCAGTGGTGGTGGCTCTGCGTGCTCCCCACTCACTCTAGGCATTCCGAGGCGAATGTGCTGAGTGTCCCATGTGGTTTTAACTTCTACTTCCTAGATAACTGATAAGCTTGCCACTCACTTATTTGATGGCCATTTAGATATATCCTCCTTGTGAGGCAGTGGAGTACCCTGAAAGTTTTTAATTAGATTGTCTTTTCCCTTTCTGAAAACAAGCTGTTTTGCGATTGCCATCTCCTATTTTAGAGTTTGTCTTTTTATTCTGTTAATGGTATCTTCTGATGAATAGGTCTTTAATTTTATTTTTTTAATAGGTCTTTAATTTTAATGTCCAGTTTATAAACGTGTGCCTTTTTACAATCCTCCCTGCTGAAAGATTGTATTCCCCTATTTTACCTTTTAAAAGCTTGGGCAGCCCGGGTGGCTCAGCGGTTTAGCACCGCCTTTGGCCCAGGGCATGATCCTGGAGAACCCAGGATCAAGTCCCGCGTTGGGTTCCCTGCATGGAGCCTGCTTCTCCCTATGCCTGTGTCTCTGCCTCTCTCTTGTCTCTCATGAATAAATAAAACCTTAAAAAAAAAAATTAACAGATTTTACTACATAAAAAATGGAAGCTTTCTGCATTGCAAAAAACCACCAAAGTCCAAGCCAATAGACAATTAGTCGGGAAAACTATATAACACATCAAAGATAAAAAGTATATAAAGAATTCTTAAAATTTGAGAAAGGACCAAAAAATCATAGTAAAATAGGAATGACATGAACAGATTGTTCATAAAGATATCCAGATGGCCTTTAAATATAGCAGATACCCGACCTCATTCATAACTGGAGATGCAAATTAAAATGATCTGAAATACCATTTTTTACCTATCAGATTTGGCAAAAGTTAAAAAGTTTGACATAACCTATTGGCAAGGCTGTGAAAAGGAGGCGCTCTCACACATTCCTGGTGGGAAAACAAACGGTACAACCCTTTTGGAGAATTTGGCAAAAATCTAACAAAAGTACATATACACTTATATTTTGACTCAGCAATCCTGTTTCTGGTATTTACCTGCAGGAAGCTACATCGCAGCAATATGAAAATACCATGCACAAGGCTATTCAATTATAGCACTGTAATGGCAAAATATTGGAAACGACCTAAATGCCCACACAAAGAAGAGTAATTGCATAAACTACAGTATATTCCACTATACAGCTGTTAAAAATGCTTTTGGAGTAAGAGGTCCATGAACTGGTACAGTTTCCTGGGTACACTGTAAAGTCGGGGAAAAAATACCAAAATATAAAAGAATGAACTGTAACATGCTACATATCATGTAAGGAAAAAAAGGGAAATAACCACTCATCTACTAATTCAAAGGAGATGTAGGAAGGATAAAACAGACACCAAAGACAGATTACCTACAAGGGGCAGGTGCAGACAGGATAGGAAGGCAGGAGAAAGAACGAGCTAGAAGAGGACAAGTAGTGACACTTTTGTATAGTTCTAACTTTTGGAACTATGCTAATATTTTACATACCAAAAAAAAAAAAAACAAATTAACAAAGAGTGCACAGCATTATGAAATACAAACAGAAACAAGTTAACTAGTTTCATTACAGATAAGCAGCAGAACCATACTAAAAGGAGGAGCAAAGAATTACCCCAGGTTACTTTGTAAAACAGTATTGATTACGCACTGTAAGACTGCACAGGTTGGCAGGCTCTTTTCGCTGGTAGATACATGGATTAGTAATTCTGAAAGTACTTTTATGTGTATTCTAGAGACTGAGCAAATAAAAGTCAGCATACTACAGATGGTCAAAGTCAGATTTCTTACTGTTGGATAAAAGTTTCAAATATACGAAGACGAGAGCGAACTCTGTGCTGTTGGTCTGGTATTGGAAGTTTTAACACTGAAGGGTCCCAGATTAAACGACTGAAGAGAGACAACTACACCATGTGGGATCACAAAGCGGATCGTGGCTTAGAGACACATTAATGGAGCAAATGGTGAAATGTGAAAAAATTCTGTACAACAGTACAAGGAAATTAATCCATTAAAGTATTATAATGATATTAGTTCCCTGATTTGGGCAATTGTCCTGTAGTTATTTAAGATGTTAGTAATATTTGGAGAACATGGAAAGACTAGTATTTTCACAGCATTCTGTTAAGTCTGAAATCTTGTCAAAATGAAGTTGAAAACTCAAAAGAACTACCTTCACTTGACCAGAAAAGTTGACTTGGACAATCCTTCCACACGGAGTCACGCTAACCTTGATTACTGGAGCTAAGGAAACATTTGAAAACCCACAGCCTTCACTTGTAATCATTCAAATTGGAATGAATCTTAATTCCAAAACGTAGTTCAATTTTTTTATTTACTAAGACCTGACCACTGGCAGCAGCCTCATAAACATTTCAAACACATGACATGGAGCGAAGGGATGGTAGACACTTTTTTTTAGTATTTTATTTATGAGAGAGAGAGAGAGAGGGAGAAAGAGAGAGAGAGGCAGAGACACAGGCAGAGGGAGAAGCAGGCTCCCCGCAGGAAGCCCGATGTGGGACTCGATCCTGGGACCCCAGGATCACGCCCTGGGCTGAAGGCGGCGCTAAACCGCTGAGCCACCCAGG